ATGATTCGAGTTTGGAATCGTCGAAGTGTTTTAGAGTAATTGGGCTTGACTTGCAAAATATTGTTACAATTTCAGTGTATTTTGGAACAAATTATGATAATTGTAATATATTTCTTTAAAAGCGTACTTAATTCTGGTGCAGTTAATAGCATATTGTAACATTAGTCGTGCAATTCTCAATTACACAGATAAACCAGCTAACTTCTCAAGCCAAATTAAAACTTGTGTTATAGGAGTTAGTAGTTAAGCTACCATAGTGGATTATGGCCAATGTTTCACAGCACAATTTGTCCAGTTTGCAATGTGCCCAGCAGAAGGACGGGTTGTTAGAAAAACAAAACACATCATTCAATAACCAATTCAGTTTTTATTATTTTTTACATTACGTTTTTCTATGTTAATTGTACTGTAACATTTTTCGTTATAAATGAGATCATTAGGAAGCGCCGAAAAGGGTCCACGTAGGCGCACGTTACGTTTTATTAATATTGAGTAGATATTCAAATTGCCTCAAATATTCTGTGCAGAGAATAGCTGGCGATTATTACTTACCTCATAAAGTGAATAATATCAAAATAACTTACATTTCCTGAAAAGGTAATTGAATTTCTTCCTTCAATAAAGCTTTAGTGCGATTATTCATAAGTTAAATATGATAATTTTATATCATCGCCGTTAATTCAATGAAATTGCCTTTTGTATTTTCAAAGCAAATTACACTTTAAATCGTCATAGTGAATCGATTACATTTGCTTTCCATGACACCAACGACATGTTTGATAACGCGATCATGTGATTGGCTACACATGACGTGATACTCTGTTTCACCAACCAATGACAGAATCGTGCAGCTGGCAGGTAGCTAACGAGGTCGGTGTTCTATAGAAGTGCGCATACAAATTTACATTTTATTATGAATTGTTAATGCAATGATACGCTATCAAAATTCTGAATTTGTATAGATCACCATCATCAACCCATTTATATGTCCCAAAGCTGGGCACGGGTCTCTTACCACAAGGCGTGTCGCTTACAATATATTACGTTTAGTAACAGTAGCGCTCCTTGTGAAAGAGTTCGTCCAGGGAAGTGTTGCTATTCTGCCGCCATGTAGTAATGTACAGGCTTGTCGCTTGCCATCAAGTGTATGACTTGTTCGTTCCATTACTAACTTGGTATTCAAATAAAAAAGTTCAAAGTACGATTTTGAATATACAGTACAATATTACTGAAATAAAGATGATGTTTACAGAGTTCTGAGACTACCAAGTATTGCAGTAACCATTTTAAATAATGAATTTCAATACATTGTGAAGTATCTTTATAGGTTACCTTGATTATAGTGAATGTTTTTAAGTGTAAAAGCACGTTCCTAGCACGACATACCGTTCTTTTTCTATACGTCTGGGCAGCAATCGGCGAATACCGTAAGTCGATCCAAATCCTTTCACCATGATGGCAAGTATTACAGTGTATGCCAATCAATAGGATAAGAAGGGTAAAGCTAATAGGTTGTCATTTCAACATTAAATCTAGGTAAAAAAGTTAACCAGTTACACTTGGATATTTGGAGTACCGGCTCATCGCAGAATCACATAATTCGTCAGATAGATGGTTTAAAGAAACTGAACCGTATCTGGCGAAAAAATCCGACGACCGACTCAAAGTTGTCACCAGGTTATTTAAAGTAATAAAAAGTACGGAGTGTTCTTCATTATAAATATAGCTAGGGACTACGTAAAAAAGTGATTTGTTTTGATTTAGGCCAGCATTCTTGAAAAGCAGCGACATAATTACATTTGAAACAACGGGTCGAGCTGTTAACAACAAAACACGATAAAATAAAACAAAAAACAAGCGGACGCGGTGATGCGTGTCGCGATCCGTGTTACAACCAACAACTGATTGCCCTTGAAAGGGTTCAAAGCCAAAAAAAGATTAAAAAAACGGTGGCTGTTCCTGATTAAAACACTGTTGCTACAAAGCGATTACCGGACCGTGTATTGCCGTCTATTCCGACATTGTTTAGTATGGATTACGAATACGTACACTGTTAATGCAGCCTTTTGTTTCTTTTATGATAGAATACTCTATAATGACAATGAGGATACGTGTATATCAGAAAAATGGATTCGTTCTTGTGGATATCCCAAAGATTCTTGCGAAGCTTTTCGCTTCCACATTTATATGGCATTCGGTTATGAAGTGGAATTCCCTGCTCACTTATTCCCTTGCCGCTATAACTCAAAACGAGATTGAATAATATAATTGGCACTAATTAATGGAAGTTCTTTGAAATACGACTGACTTTCTTAGATTTAAAAGGTAGGCTCATGACAGTGTAGTAAATACCATTACGTCCTGTACAAAACCGTATTCCTTTAAGTCAACTTTCATGATGTTTCTGCTTTCCTTCACACTTATTAGTACTTCCCCATTGTTCATTCTCTTTCCTAACGAATCCTTCCCATCCAATAATTTATTTCGACTCATCTGTATAACAAAGGTCTATGTACAAGACTGCTTGTTATCAGGACATAGCACATTTCGTTCGTTGTTCTTCGCTGTGGATGTCAGATAGACCATTGTTCGATTTCATATTTGCGAAACGAAATAAGATATATAAATTCTCAAAACATCTTTACATAGGCCTTAGTTTGAATAACGAAATTGTTCTCGTAACGTACTTATTCTCTTTTCGCTGTATAATCACATCGGACTCTGTTCTTCGGATGAGTCGATTTAGCTATAGTAATGGAAGAATGCCGCTTAGCTTTTTCTTTATTTAATAAAATAACTACCAACTTTTACGTAACTATTTCGCCATTTTCCCACGTACAAAATGTTCTTATTCCGTTTCAATTTTCTTTATAACTAAATATCGGAACAATATAAGATATCTAGATCCCAGTTGGCTTCCCGTCCAACGTATCAGATACTTTCCAGTTTGTGTTTCGTTGATACTGCACATCACGTACCAAAAGAGGTTTACACACGGCTACCTTTCTTTGATTTTACTGGATTCGCTTTTTTAACTGTTCATTTTGGATATAGTTGAAACAGGTTTCTATCCTTTCAAAAATAATTAACCGACTTCAAAAAAAAAGGAGGAGGTTCTCAATTCGACTGTATGTTTTTTTTGTGTGTAGGTTACGCGATAACTCCGGTATTTGTGAACCGATTTTGATGATTCTTTTTTTGTTGGAATGAGGATACCTCCATAGTGATCCCATTTTGAAGAAAATTATCCACCTCTATGAGTGGCTGTTCACGCGTGAACATTCATTTTTGTAAATAGCGCCTAAATTGTATTATAAAGAGCAATTATTTTAATGGTTGATTTTGCTTTTAAGGCGTTTTTCTGTCTCAATATACTTTGAGTAGTGAGAACCGATTTTTATTATCTCCTGTGTCAAGTTCCGTATAGTGGCGAACTAGGGGATGAATCCGGGTTTGCACACTTTCCGGTAACCGATTCCAATAACACTTGATAAATAGATGTAATTCCACATACTTTTGAGATCGGTTTTTTTAATACTCTGTACTGAGATTATTTTGAAAACGATATTAAACAATAGCGACTGCTACAGAATTTTTATTCGGTAATAAATTATTTGTATCTATATTTTAATCGTGTTTATTGTGTTCTATTTCATAACGAGCTACAGCAGAATATCAGCGAAGTTTTTGTATTTGCATAGTAATAAATTCCTTTGACATGCTTCTACAAAAAATAGAATTGTTTTATCATGAACGTCATAACGAATTTTATATTACAAAGTTTTTTTCATTGTTTGTATTTTGTGTGAATTTTATAAACTGTGTACAATTACAACTAAGAACGGGTTTGGAGGAGTAATCAGTCACAGCTGTCATTAAAGTGGTCACTACTGGTTAAATGTAGAAAACTAGCGTAATTGGCGCATGAACGTTTCAGGCTAGCAAGGATTAAAAAATTTTTTTTTTTTATAATACCAAGTGACGTACCTGGTAATAATCCACACGCCTGCCTATAACAGTTGCCGTGTTACTTAGAGCTTTAAATTATAAAGATCTGGGGGCACCGCCACTGCGCCCATCACTCTGAGACATAAGTTGACAACACTCATGTGCCTGTAATTTCGCCAGCACCCTTACCCTTCAAAACCGGAACACAGTAATGCTGACATTACTGCTTGGCGGTAGAAATAGGTAAGGTGGCAGTACTTCCCTGGACGAGCTCTTTTACAAGGAGCTCTACCGCTACTAATATTCAAATCGTGAAGCGTATCTCATACACGCGGCGGATATATATAGTTTGACTTTGTATTAACCTACCTGTACAAGAGAGCCGTATAATCTTCGAGTCATGCAGCAGTAATGTGCGACGTGTGTCAAGAGTCTTAACAATGCGAAGCCACAATCATCATGCCGGAGCACTGACGTGTGAATTCTCATTGAATGTTGGCTCGAAAATCTCATTTTTAACCCCCGACGTAAAAATACCTACCTTCGGGTTAAGTTTGAGGAGTTAGTTTATGTCCATCTGCTTGTGGGATGCACGATTGCATCTGAATCGATGCACAGATCCACAGATGCTTTTGAAACGATCTCATTAATATCGATTCAAAATTAATTTTCTTAAAAAAATAATAATATAGACAGTGTTTTTGGCTTCAATCGGTGGAGTGATATTAACCAGTGAGAAAAAACGTTCAGGCAGAGAATTAACGACAATCGCCAAATATCGTAGACTTTATTGTATGTACTTAGATGTATCAAACTACTTTTTTTGCAGACCAATACAGAATAGGATTAACCATACGAATCTTAATGAATTACGAAGTCTTAAAAATCGCATTGCAATGAATCGATACAAAAATTGCAAGATCGTATACACTTGAATCGATCTTCATAAATATGGAATCGTAATGTGCATGCCTAGTCTGTTTATCTACGTCTACCTATAAATCGCACAGTCAATTTTTTTACAGTTATTTTAAGGTTTGTTAGGTACTTACATCATGTAACCACGACAGCTTCCTGGCAGGTGGATTGGCACGGACATGACACTCGAAGTACACGTCGTCGCCTTCCTTGATGTCGCTCGCTGCGAGTGAGCTGCCCAGGCGCAGCCATACTACTGGAGGATCTATGTTGAACAATAATTAAAAAGTTAGGCATCTGATTATTAGACAACCCAATCCGTTCATAGAATAGGTGAACTGCAAGCGTGAAAGTCCGATTGAGCTAATTTAAGAAATGATATTGTCTACATTTTGGTCAGATTGTTTTGAAAGGTAATCTGTTTTCAGACCAAGTAATGGGGTGCATGAGGGGAGCCTGCTCGCAGGACTTACTGTGATCTCACCTTTCAACCCTCATTACTGGTTCCTGGCCACTTTTAAAATTTTGAATCGTTCTCTAATTCCTTTTTCTTCATTATTCCTATGTCAGTTCGTTCCGTCATCTCTCTCATAAAAATTCTCGAAGCTAGAGCACATGTATCACTTCCTACTTAAGGTCGCACATTCCATTGGTAAATTTATACTGCTTAAATGTCAAAAATGTTCTTATGTGCATTTTATAACGAAGAAACGATTTTGTATTGTTTTGAAATGTAAAAATCTTTTTACTAGTTTTCAATTTAAGAATGCACAAATCTCTTGTATTTATTTAGTTTATGTTCCATAGTAGCTTCATTTTTATATAACTTACAAATATCAAAAATTGTATGTAAAGAGATCTTATTTTAACTTAGTTCTTTTAGTAGCAGAAGAGTTTCTTGTGAAAGAATTCGTCCACGGTACTACTGCCACTTGACCTATTTCTGCCGCCAAGCACCAATGTCAGCAGTACTGTGTTCCGGTTTTAAAGAGCACCCTTAGGTGCTGGTGAAATCACAGGTACATGAGTCCCCCCCATCAGATCTTTGCAATGTAAAGCTCTGAGTGGCACTGTAACTGTTATGGACAGGCGTGTAGCTTACCATCACGCTGACGCATGACAAAATTGTAAATGGACTGTCAAGAACAACCAATTTTTTTATTTCTTGTAATTATTATATGGGTTACTATTTTTCTTAACAAATATTACATTTTCTTAAATGTCCTGTGAAGCAAGAACGTTAATTTAATTTTATTTATCTCCTAGAGATATTTTGCGGCTCGGTTTGTAAATTGCCTTAATAGCATTATTATGTAGAAGAACGATTTTATTAATGTCAGCACATTTTGCCAAACAACAATGCTGTACGTCATCAAACAGTTGAATTCACTGAAATAATAAAATCGTGAGGTTTTTACGTCTGAATGTTCTAGACTTTTTTTGGTGCAAAGCTTCGACAACTTATTTCTTGCGACCAATATTTATCATATTATTTATTCTGTGACCTTTTCACCAATAAGACCTTCTCCTGTACTTAATCTTTGCTTTTTGTTCGTTTCTCTTATTTTTTTTTGTATGCAATAAAGAGAATCTGTGTTGACCTCATTACAATTTGTCATTGTACGGTATACCTAGCCAGGTTAAATTTTAACCGTTAACTGTCTAACATTAGGTAATGTAATACATTTTTTGTTTTTTGTTTGTTTTTTCGCGTTGAAAATTAAATAAACCAATGTACTTACATTATGAACTATCATCGTCAGCAAATAATAATTACTATCTCACGTTCAACCACCGAGACTAGATAAGTCATTAATATAAAAAATGGACCTAGAATAGAGCCTTGCGGAACGCCCATACTAAGTACAAACTTTGATGACCTCGAACCATTGACATTTCCCTCTGGATCCTATCGCTTACAAACAATTGAAGTAGTTTACGTTTACTTACAAACAACACTAATAGTCCACGAAGTTTCGAGGTAGAGCAGTGTCACGTTGGGGTTCTCAGCCTTGCAGATAATAGCTTTTCCGTCATCATCTAGGGTTGGCACGAAGCTCATCACACTGACTGTCATGTTGTCGCGAAGTTCCTCCTGAAACAATGAAAGAAGGTCGTTAAAGTTTTTTTGTGAATATTTGTGCTAGGTCGACTATGGTCATTTAAGTGTTATGTATTTTTAATTTTATTACACGGAAAGTCTAGTGGAATCAGTTGAATCCTTTTTTATTTCCCGTCATGCGTCCTAGAGGCATGAGGTGTCCCTAATGATTTGGGGAAAATTTTTATATTTTTTTTATAATTTTTTTTTTGTTTAGTGGTGGATGAAAACAGCTGCACGTTAGAGACACCGTGTGGCTTTAGAACGCTACAATACCAAAACCGTTAGAACGCCGTGTCTCTAGAACGAGTGACAGGATATATTATAAATTAATTTTAGCTACCGCCGAAAGTGATTAATGCCCTAAATATTTGCTATATTGCAACATATAATATAGTTAATTCCTTATTACCTTTCAGAGCTTTAATTAATAGGATGAGAAATATATTTGTTTCTTTCTTACATCAAACAATACGGACAGGATTATCAAAATTTTGGCATATAATTTTATTAGTTCAGACAAATGGTTCAAATGCCAACGAAGCCCTTTTCAGGCAAAGCAAAGGAGAAGGGGAGAGATTGAGAGTAGGCTGTTTTAAATTGTTCCTTTGGGTTGAAAGTTGTCAATTAGTAGCAGTAGAGCCCCTTGTGAAAGAGTTCGTCCAGGGTAGTACTGCCACGTTACCTATTTCTGCCGCCAAGCAGTCATGTCAGCATCACTGTGTTCCCGTTTTGAAGGGTAAGGGTGCTAGTGAAATTATAGGCACGTGGGACTTGTCAACTTCTGTCTCAGGGTGACGGGCGTCAGTTACGGACAGGCGTGTAGCTTACCATCAGGCGCACGACTTCTTCGTTCCGTCATTTGATGTTATATAAAAAAAAATAACATTTTTTAACAATAAATCTTTAAGTATCTTTTTTAATAGAAAATAAAATGTAAGGAATTACTTAATTAATTTCTTACATTTCTTTGTGGATGTGATGTATGGTATTTTCGTAGAGTTAACACGTTTGTGCCTAATGCAGTATGAGTGAGCAAAGTGAGAGTGTGAGTAGCTGTAAAACGTTGAATAAATTGTCTGAGCTGAGAAAACTTTCCTTTGTAATTAATCAGACGTTCTCCTCTAGTGTAACAAATGTCCATAAATGTCATTACTGTCAGATGGGCCATCCGTTCGTTTGCCCATTTTCTTCTATATATAAAGAAATAACTTACTACAACACAATTAATAATATTTAACAACAACACTTACGTTTCTCTGATCCCAAAGTAAGTAACTAGAGCACTAGTGTTATGGAAATCGGAAATAGAAAAATTTGTTTCTATATTGACCCGCCCGGGGATCGAACACGTGACCTCGAAGATGGCGACATCATGAAAATCGGTATGCAAGCCATTCGATCACGGAGGTCGTGTAATTGTTTCGATTATAACTATATAAATTATTCTATTATAGACACTTCTGAATAATGTTTAAATAGCACTGGATGATGTGTGTCCTCTTCGCTGATGACATTTCTGTCCTAATCACTTGCTCTAATAGAGATCTAGAAATAAAACTAAATTTAACATTAGATAAAATTGTAAACTGGCTAGGTATACACAACTTGCAACTCAACCTCAACAAAACTAAAATCATCCAATTCAAACCCTATCAAAAATCAGCAGTACAAATATCGTATAAATATAGAAATACTAAAATAGAAACTGTAAATTCTGCTACATTGCTAGGAATAGATCTGGATACACATTTGAATTGGAAAGAACATATACAAAAAATACTTAATAAACTATCTTCTTTTGTTTATGCACTTCAACACCTCAAACGTGTAACAGACTATAGGACCGCCCTTGCGGCTTATTATGCACACGCGCAGTCAATGCTATCATATGGTGTTATTGTGTGCGGAAATTCCTGTGATGTGGACAAGGTGTTCATACTGCAGAAAAAGTGTATAAGGATAATAACGAATATAGACCAAATTGAATCTTGTAGACCTCATTTTGTTAAGTGTAAAACACTGACCGTTACTTCTCTCTACATTCTCGAGTCATGTAAATTTGTTAGGAAGCACCCACAGCCTTATTCACGTCTGACGAACTATAAACGAAATAACAGAAACTTAAACAAGCTTAGAGTACCTTTCTCCAAAATGAAATTAGTTACGTCTGGCCCGCAAACCATGTTAATTAGAATTTATAACCACATACCAAATTATATCAAAAACCTGGAAAGACTTACACAATTTACTAAAGAACTAAAGGCATTTCTTGTTAATAAATGTTATTATGACTTAAATGAATTTTTTGACGATACGTATGATGACAAATAACAATAATAATGCAAATAAAAATACTTCGACATCTCTTATTAATAATTATTGAAATTAATGTATTGTATAAAATAAGTTTTCTAATTAAGAATAATGCAATGTAATAATGTTATGATATTATATTGTAATGTAATAATTTAATATGATTAAATAGTGTGATTTATGAATTTAGCCCTCAGATATTGCTGTGCCCTTGCAGGGTGTCACATGTATACCATCAATTAATGTTTCATCTTAAATTTGTAATGTGATATGCAATAAACAATTGAAATTGAAATTGAAAAGCACCTTAAAGTGATTTACTTAAATAAATGTAATTTGTTTCCACCAAAGCACACCAAGCACAATGGTTGCAACAACGAGCACAATGATTGCTGCAACACTTTTAAATAACAAATTGAATTATGTTGTGATTGATTCAATTTAGAATTCGTCAAGCTGAAAATTCACTTTATTGAAATGCTTTTTTTCCATGCTTGTTCGAAGTTATGGCTTTATTAAACTCATTTAAAGTTCTTTCTTCAATGGCGCAGAGTCCATTTTTCAAGAAGAAAATAGAAGTAGGGTGCCATCACCAACGATCGACATTTTAAGGGAAATGTGTTTTTAAATTTGAAATAACTTTTTCGTTTTTAAACCATATCTATCCATTGTAATTTTTAAATTTATTGTATGGTACGAAGTTTGACCACCTTGATATTCAATTATTTTTGTGAAATTACTCCACTAGTATATAATAATTATTAATACAAATATCGAACGCTAAGAAAAATTCCTTTGATCCGGTTGGATTAGAACGTATTCCAGTATTTCCATGTGCTTGTTGCTAATCTTTGTTTTTGGTTCTTTGGCATAGCATCTGATACGGTTTGTTGGAAGACGTTGGTTCGAATTCAGCTGGATCGAAGGATTTTTTCTTAATGTTCGACCTTAATAATATATCAATAGTGATTAGTTTCACAAAAAGCTATTATAATTATTACAAATAAATCGTAAACTACAATTTCTCTAAATCTCCAATAATGAACACCGAAAATTCACTAATTAATTAACCGGTAGTCGACACTCATCAATGAATACCCAGTAATTGACCTTACCAATAAAAAAACGTGTTATTATGACAGACAATTTTGTCTTTTAAAAATTATATTGAACACTTCTGCTTATCGGTCACTGGATGGCGCTACCAACTTACGCAGCAAATACGGCAATGTTACAATATTTACTGTTAACTCAGAGAATATGAAGACCGATAGAAACCGTGTTGTGTGGACGCTTCGCCTTATAGAATGAAATTTATGATCCATAAGATAATACCCCAAAGGCATGAACGTAAGATTTACACATATATTCTCAAGATCGCGTTCAAATATTATGCAAGCGACGAAGTTTGCGCTTTGCAACAAAGTTAATATTTGATGCATGATTCACATTATTCCACCGAGTCCTTACTTTGTGGTTCATTAAAATATAATAGGACGTAAGCGTCAGCGATTTTCTCTGAAACTGGATAAGTGTCTCAACTGTGAAGTTGATGACGGTTCTTTTGAAGAATATAGTGTATTGTGTAACATAATATTTAAGAGTAAAAGAAGGAGTGTTGCATGTTTTTTCTTCTACTATGGCAGACATGTTGTATTTCAATATAAAATTAAAACCGACATTAAAAATTTGTGGAATGACATCTGTTTGACAAGTTTTACTGAAATCGGGTAATGGAAAATAGGTGAAACCCGTTGAACGGGATTCCTCCCCCTAAATTAACACTCTTCGAGGTGGAATACTTTATTACAATTTGAATGAGACTTCTGAGGTTACCCTCTTTAAAAAAAAATTTTAGAATTTTAGTTCAAAAATGTAAGACTAATTGCGTAACATATTTACAAAAAACAAAACCGTAATTTTTTTTTATTATACTAAGTGACCTGACCCTACCAATTGCAATGCCACTCAGAGCTTTAATCTCAAAGCACAAAGATCTGCGGAGCACTGCCACAGCGCCTGACACCCTGAAACATAAGTTGATGTGCCTGTAATTTCACCAGCGCCCTTACTCTTTGAAACCGGAACGCAGTAATGTTCACATTACTGCTCGGCGGCAGAAATAGGTAAGGCGGCTGTACCTCCCTAGACGAACTCTTTCACAGTTCTACTGATTGAGAACTTTCTCCTTTTTTTGAAGTCGGTTAAAAATAGAAGGCGTTCACGTTTCTGTTGAAATAATAATATAACAGTTTGGGTGTAATTTCAGACCGCAAGGTAACCGTTCGTCACAGAGGCAGTTAGTGTAAATAGTAACGGTAATAATAATAATCATTCGTAGCATCACAGTTATAATTATGCAATAGTTAAAAATAAAATAACCCGTTTTGACGTGCAAAAGCACATAAACAACAAACAAATTACAGAAAATAATCTTTTAGAAAGTCTATTAATGAAAACTGTCTACATTTAAACAACAAACAATAAAATGGAAATACCTACCAAAATTCAATTTATGCTTCAATAACATTGTCAGTAAACAATGTCAGCGTCAACTGAATCGTTGTACCGTAACAAAATCAAAAACTGAAGCGATAATCAAATCAACCGGACCAGTCAGTTTCCACGCCAACTGACCGCCACTTCGTTAGCTTATGAATCAATCGGCAATTGTCAAC